GAGCCTGAAGGTCGACATATTGAGCAGTCGGATTCCGAATTCGCCCTTCATGTGCAGGAACAATACGCAACGCCCCTGGCCTAGCCTGCCCATTGAGGCTCCTACTAGTGGACGTCTCGTGTGCCTAGAGTGCAAGGACCACACGTGGAGGGCTAGGCCTTAGACCTTACATAAGCCTCATTACAACTGGATTGACACAGCTGCGTTCAAAAGCCGGCCCTGATGTCCTATTGCCCCCACCTGGAGAGTCAGGGCTAAGGCAACTTCATTTTCAGCTTGAACACAAGCAACTCAGTTGAAACGGATGTGCAACCCTGACGTTCACCTACGAGCTTTCCGAAAGTTTTGCTGCTGTTGCCGCCACATGGAAGTCAACGCAGGATCTTAGCATATTCGACTGAGCAGGTCTGGGACAAAAGGGGGGCTGAAGCTCATGATGCGCGGGCGTTGGGGTCCTAGCTTGGTTAGGCTCACTTGATTGAAACGGCTAGGCAACCCTCGTGATCTTAGCTGCTGTCCCCCAGGTAGAGAAAAAAGGGTTAGGGCTTAGAACTATCTTGGCGGGTCTCACTCGATTGATGCAGCTGTGCAACCCTCGTATTCACACGAGGGAGTTTTAAACATGTAGTTGTTGACCTGGAGATCAGCGCAGGATCACTCGAATGAAACGGCTGTGCATTCCCTGTGTTCGCGCGTGAGCGTTCCGAAGATGTTGCCACCTGGGGATCGATGCTATTTTAGGCAAGCATGCTAGCGCCAGGCGTGCAAAGATTGTGGGCATCCTCCCCCGCCCCCACCAAGCAAAAGAACCCAAGGATGAGTAAAGGAGAACTTAAATCCCCCCCAAGCATGAAAGTTGCCTTGCTTGGTGCGGTCGCCTTTCTTTTGAAGTACAAGTACAAGGTTAAGGGAGGGTTTACAGATGCGTCCCTCCGTCTGACCTTCGAAGATGTGGGTTCGTGGCCTTCCGTGATGTCCAGCAGAGCCATCTGAAAACATGCGAGCTGTCATGCCCTTTTTTGAAATATTCCTCCTTATTAAGGGTAATATAGGGACTATCATTTTTAATATTCTTTTGGGGTTCTTACGCAAATAGTCGTGATGTCGTCAATGCCATGTTGAGCTCATGCCGCGGTTCAGGACGAGCGCGATCCGGATGACGGCCAAGGCTTGGCAGCCTTATACTAAGAGTCCTTAGTAGGGATGGGTTTAGGGTTTAGGTTTAGGGTTTAGGGTTTAGGGTTTAGGGTTTATACCCACCCGATTAGAATCCCTATTGAGGACTGTTAAACTGTTACTATAATCCCATATTAAGGGGGAGCTTCGGCCGTCATCCCTGAGGTCCCAAGAGCCCCCCAAAAACGCTGAAGGTTCCCCCCGGTGCCTGAACGCTGTGCATTCAGTGCGGGGCTTTGGGGTTTAGGGGTTTTGGCGTTTTCGGGCTTTGGGGGTTTGGGGTTTGGGGTTTGGGGGTTTGGGGTTTGAAACTGAAAGTCCAAGCCCCGGAAGACCAAGCCTTGAGGCAAAAGATGCTTTTGCCCTTCCTGAGCTGAAGAGGATCTTGCGTGCGAACAATGCCAGCTTCTGCCTTAAACCCTAAACCCTAATTCCTAAACCCTAAACTTGAAAAACCCTAAACCCTAAACTTGGAAACCCCAAAGCTTCAAAACCCTAAACCCTAAACCCTAAACTTTAAAACCCTATACTTCAAAACCCTAAACCCTAAACTCAGGCACGTACCTGGACTACCTGCGCCGCCGCTGTCTGGAGTCCATCCCATCACTGGTGCACGCCATGGACCCGCGCGAGCTGGGTGGCTGGGGCTCTTGAAAAGCAGTTAAAGATGCTTAGAGGGTTTAGTGGTCTTGGGGCTTAGGGGTTTAGGGGTCTAGGGGTTTAGGGGTTTAGGGTTTGGGGCGGGGGTGTGGGGGGGTTGGAGGTTCAGGGGCTCAAAGGGGTTCAAGGCTTCGGGGTTGAGGCATCTTTTTTAGGGGCTCTTGAGGTTGAGGGTGGCTGCCACGTCCTTTGGATTCCTGTGCTTTTTGTGACAAGCGTCGCGCGGATGTACACCTACATGTCCAGGGTTGGACCTAACTTGTGTGACCGGGTTTCTATCTGGCGCACCAGCCCGAAACCCCACACCAGCATGCCAAAGCCCACGACGTGCCGGCAAACCCCCCACATGCAAAGCCCAGGTGACGATGACCACGAAGATCTCAGGGATGCTTTCCAGGCAGCGCAAGTGCAGTGACAACAACAACGATAATAGGAATAAAAGAGAGAATAATAGCAGTAATACATCAACAATGAAAAGGATAACAGTCGTCACAATCATAACAATCATATCCAACATATCAAACAATATCAATAGCAGCAAAAACAACACTGATAGCAATAAGAATGTTAATAACAATAAGAGCAACTGTAGCATAACAAGAATAGCAGGAAATAACAAGAATATATTAGTGACGATATTCGCTATAGCAACAAGAATAGCAATGACCACAAATCACAGCAATAACAGCAATAGCACCAAGAGCAACAATAGCAACAATGCCAGCAATAACAACAATAAAATCAGTAGCAGCAATAGCAACAATAGAAGAAGCAACACCAACAATAACAAAGACAATGATGACGGTACAAATGATACCAAGAATACTCGCAAAAAAAACACGAACAGCAGTACTGTCAGTACGGACAGTAATGGCAACAATAGCAACTAAAAAAACATCATTGCAGTAATCACCATAACAATAAACACGCCAATTTCAAGAACGACAGTGCAAATCGTAGTAAGAGAAATAGCAGTAAGACCAATAATAGCAAACAGTGGTCACACAAACAGAAGCACTAGCAACAATGAACACAATTCAGGAATGACAGTCACAGCCGACTCACAGACTTGCAGCTTGGAGTTTGGGTTTTAGGGGGTGTCTAACGTTTTCCATGGCCGTCTTAAGGCCCGCTGTATAGGTTTAGGCCTAAACCCTAAACCCCAGCCCTAAACCCTAAATCCTAAACCCTAAACCCACATCCCTAAACCTAAAGCCTCAACGCCCTCCCCCGCCCTCCACCCCCCTCTCCCTAGTTTTTGTGTGCAAGGCCTTGCTCACCTCGCCGCTACCACCGGATCCGGAGCTGGCGGAGCTGGAGAAGCTGGGCGTCAAGGCCACATCCCTAAACCCCAAACCCCAAACCTTGAACCCTAAACCCCAAAGCCTAAGCCCTAAACCCTAAACCCTAAATCCTAAACCCTAAACCCTAAACCCTGAACCCTTAACCCTAAACCCTAAACCCTAAACCCTAAGCCCTGAACCCTGAACCCTAAACCCTAAACCCTAAGACCTAAGCCCTGAGCCCTGAACCCTAAACCCAAACCGTGAATTAGTTCTTTAGGGTTTGAAGGAGTTCGAGGTCCCGCACTTCGTGGTTTAAGGATGGATGGGCAGTAAGGTTTGGGCATTTCAAAATGGTGGTTTTGAGTTGTTTTAGTGGGCTTGTGGGGGTTACTACTTTTGGAGGTCTGCAGGCTCTTGGTCTGGTAGGTCCCAGGCTCAAGGTTTTGGACCCAGGGTTCGGCAATCTCCATGCATCACGGCCATCTTGGGTTTAGGGTTCAGGTTTTCGGAGCCCTAAGCCCTAAACCCTGAACCCTGAGCCACTAATACCCTCACCCCTGAACCCTAATCGTCTGAACCCCCGAACCCTAAACCCTGAACCCGAAGCCTCGCGTCCTAAGCCCTTGGACCCGAAGCCCTGAAGCGGTCCAGGAAGCGCACGAGGACGTGGCTGGTGTGCCGTCGCGGAAGGCTTCCGCCCCATCGCTTGTTGTATCTTGGGCGCTGGAATCGCGGAACCCTCAGGCCTACTTAGCTAGGATGCGCATGTACATAAAACATGTATGGGACCAAAAGAGGATAGTGTTGGTACTTATTTCGGCTCCCGTAGTCCTGGCTTGCAACCAAAGAGTCTGGGCAAATAGCTTCCAAGCGGGATAGAAGATGTGCTTTTGCTTCCATGCAGCCCGTCTGTGAAATCAGTACAGCCCCAAACCCCCAACACCCCCAACACCCCCAACACCCCCAACGCCCCCAACACCCCCAACACCCCCAACACCCCCAACACCCCCAACACCCAGCCCCCAACACCCCCAACACCCCCAACACCCAGCCCCCAACCCCCAACCCCCGACCCCAAAACCCCAAGCCCCCACATGTGCTGATTAAAGCATCAGCTATTTCACTTATATGGATCGGATTGACTCTCCAAGAACGCATCAGCCCCAAACTCCAAACTCCAAACCCCAACCCCCCAACCCCCCAACCCCTAACCCCTAACCCCAAACCCCAAACCCTAACCCTACACCCCAACCCCCTACACCCTAACCCTACACCCAACAACCCTACACCCTCAGCCCGACACCCCAACCCCCTACACCCTCACCCCCAGCCCCCTACACCCTTACCCCCCAGTCTTTCAGGCGCGGCGCGCAAGCCGCCGGCCGCAGCCGGTGCCCTCCTGGGAGGCAGGGGTGATGCTGAGGGCGTCAGGGGGTTGGGGGGGGTTTAGGGCTGTGGGGGCTTAGGGTTTGGGGGTTTAGGGCTTGGGGCTTCAGGGGTTTAGGGGTTTGGGGGTTTCGAGGTTTAGGTTTAGGGTTTGGCGGTCAGGGGTGTAGGGGCTTAGAGGGTGTTTTTTAGGGTTTGGGAGGGCTCGGGAACAGACTTGCGCTTGAATTATTCACGTAAAAGAGCCAACTCTAATCAACTTGGCCAGGCGTATTTTGGTGCGACGGCGGAGCTCCTCTACTACTCGCGGCATGTCAAGGCATTGCGCGCTCTGGGATTTCTGGAGGCTTCGAAAGTCACAGTGTCCTTCCTTTCTGCCCGTCTCATGGTTTAGGGTCCCAATATACGGCTACTCAAGTTTGCCAGATCAGCTGGCGTTAGAAACCGTTAGAGGCGCCGTGTGCAGCACCGCCCTGGCTCCGCCACCAAAAGATGGAGCACGACAGCGCAGTCGTCCTCGTGGAGATAGCCTGGGCCATCACAGGAGTCCAGGTGTGCAGCTTGGAGGTGGGCCAAAAGACTGCAGTCGAGGAGTTCCAGAAGGCCATGGAAGACGCGAGCGCCCCTGCTCCGGTGCTGCAGTTCGTCATTGAAGGCTCCGGCACGGACCCATGCAGCCCTTCCAATCCCGAAGCAGGCCATGGCGATGCGAAACGGAAGCTGCTCAACTTGATCGATTGGCTTGCGCTGGAAGAGCACCGCCTCGACCGGCTTCTGGATCTGCTAAAGCTCCTCCAAGGATCAATGCGTAGTGAGGGCGGTGCAAGCTTCTGCCGATTGCTGGCCTATCGCCCGGTGGTCACCTTGCCATCGATCCTCGAGTTTCTCGGTTGGCTTCGTTTGGTGGGCCAAACTGAACGTGAAACCTTTCAGGCGCCCATTGCCCGCTTGGCTCGCTGCATTCTGGCAGTAGACCGCGAGGGGCATGGTGTGAACCAGCTCTACAACGGGCGCACAGAGCGCACAGAGTTGCACTCCACGTTGCACTCCACGTTGCACACTGCAGCCATTCTGGGCGAAGTTGGGATCTGCAAGGCGATCTTGGATCACCCGAAATTCAGCAGGGCTGATGACGTGGAGCATTCGCCGCTGCCGGACCCACATTATACCCGTATGTTGGACATCTGGCAGTCCAAGTATCACCGCAGTCAGAAATACTGGCAGGAAGCTTACATACATGGACAGGCGTGTGGCTGCACTGCCTTGCATGCGGCCGTCCTTGAGGGCAAGTTTGACGTTTGTTCCTTGCTCCTTCAATCTCCTCGCTTCGCGGCTGTGGCCCAGCCCAATGCGAATGGGCAGACCGCATTGCACATGGCATTGAACTTTCCGGGACCGAAGTATCGGAATCTCGTTTACGAGCTTCTTCAGGACGGCCGCTCGGATGTCAACGCACGCGCGTCAGATGGATGGAGTATTGTCCACTTAGCTGCTGACCATTGCTGCGAGTCTGATGGCTGTGATTGCGACTGGTGTCGCAAAGACTTGTTCAAGGAGCTCCTTCGAGATGCTCGCGTGGATGTCAATGCAGTGACCAAAGATGGCTCGACAGCTCTGCACCTGGCTGCAGACTCTTCGAACCCAGTTGCCATCGAAAAGCTTCTAGGCGCCGTGCGACTGAATGATCCTGTGGACGTCAATGCCAGGGATTCGGGTGGTCGGACAGCTCTCTACCGAGCCGTGGCATCTTCGAATATGACCGTCGTGGACCAGCTCCTGGATGACACGCGGGTGGATGTCAACGTAGTTGACCAACGTGGTTGGACAGCCCTTCATGCAGCTGTGAAATCCGGGAGCCCAGAGGCTATCACAAAGCTTCTAGATGCTGTGCGGGACGTCAACGCCAGGATCCCACATGTTGGAACCGCTCTTCACATTGCCGTGATTCACCGGAGCTTCGATGCCATCGCCCAACTTCTAGCTCATGAGCGGGTGGATGCGAACGCGCGGGGGCGCGATGGCTTCACAGCCCTTCAACTAGCTGTGGACTATAGGCGCGAGGAGGCCATCGACAAGTTTCTAGGTGCCGTGCGCCTCCATGACCCTCTTGACGTCAATGCCACCGATCCAGACGGTCACACAGCTCTTCACCTGGCCGTGCAACGATGCTGCTTTGTCGAAAAGCTCCTGGATGATGAGCGGGTGGATGTCAACGCAAGGACCGCTGATGGTCAGACAGCACTAGACCTAGCACTGAGTTTCTGCCCATCTGAGTGCAGCGTGCGCGTTGTCGAGGCACTAGTGGCAGATGGCCGCATCGGTCTTTGTGCTCAAGGTGGGCAGACATCTCTTCACCGTGCTGTGGGGGCTTTGAGCACCAAGGCCATCGAAAAGTGCTTAAGTGACAAGCAGTTGGATGTGAACGCAAGGACCGAAGATGGTGAAACAGCACTTGACCTGGCACTGCGCTTCCGCCCAGATTATCGCAGACGAGTTGGAGTAGTTTGGCAATTTGACCAGATCATCATGGCCCTTGCGGAGCGCACATGTGGCGTGGTGCTTGATAGGGGACAGATCCCGGCACTTTCCGGGGCGAGGCGTCGCATGTACAGAGAAGAAGAAGAAGGAGAAGGACCCGAGCCTGTGAACTTCAAGGAGGTACGGAAGGCGAGCTTCCAGCCGCGCTCCTTTCGGAAGGAGCCCCACGTCGGCGGCACACGAAGAGTGCCCTGGACCTCCAGGAGGCGACCTCGGATGGGCATCGCCATGTCGAAGCTGCTCCAGACGCAGCTGTGCGAGGAAGGCCTTTCGCAAGATGGGCAACTCCTGTGAGGCCTTTCCACTGCACGCGGGACACAGCAATCTTCATTGCATAGTTCGCCATGCCTGGCGAATGGACTTTGGATGTTGCCCCTTGAGCAGGTTGCGCAGAGGCGTCTGCTTAAGTGTACAGTTTCGCCAGGGCTCTTCCTGGTTTGTCGACCGCATGTGTAAAGTGTACAGCATCCCAACAAAGTGTACAGCATCCCAGCACCCCCCCAGCTATCCTTTAACCAGAGTTGTATGATATGTACGTCCCCTTTATTAACGGGTAGTTGGGGGGTACAGCATCCTCGCAAGCCTTTCCTTGGGCAAGCTCGAGGCAGCTTTAGTGGAAGCCATTCGCTGACCCAGGCCAAGGTGCAGAAGATGGCGCGACGCGTTTTGCCTGAGGAATCCCCGAGACCGCCCCAAACCCTAAACCCTAAACCCTAAACCCTAAACCCTCAACCCTAAACCCTAAACCCTACCCTAAACCCTCAACCCTAAGCCCTAAGCCCTAAGCCCTAAGCCCTAAACACCCAGACTACTAAACCCACTTCTCTAGACCTTCAGGCCGACTTTGTTCCCTTCCTCATGGGCTGCCTGGCGCCTGCCGCGGATCCTGCGGAAGGACCTTGGCCCCTCGAAACGGGCTAATTTACGGGCTTACCTTATATCTAGGGGTGCCATAACCCTTAGACCCTCGACCCTAAACCCTAAATCTAAAACCTGAACCCTAAACCCTAGACCCTAGACCCTAGACTCCAGACGCTAGACCCTAAACCCTAAGCCCCAAACCCTAAACCCTAGACCCTAGACCCTAGACCCGAGACCCTAAACCCTAAACCCTAAACCCTACACAGGGGCCACCATCCAGAGAAATGGCGCATCAAACGACTAGGGCCCTCCCCGAAATACCCGGCTCGAACCTTTGGGCCCTGAGTCGGTGACCTTGGACTTTCAACTCCCTTGTTTAGGGTTGAGGGGGTTAGGGGGTTTAGTTTAGTGTTTCGTGGTTTAGTGTTTCGAGGTTTAGGGGTCTGGAGTCTAGAGGTTCGGGTTTAGGGGTTTAGGGTTTGTGCTACCATCCCCCCTTGTCAAAGGTTGATCCCGCCTCCTGCGAGCTTCTTCTTCCTGCTTCAGGGCGCCCTGCCTTCAACCTCTCACGTCTTAAGTGACACGTCCATCAGAAACCGGGTTCAGGGTGTGGGGTTTAGGGTTGAGAGTTGAGGGTTGAGGGTTGAGGGTTGAGGGTTGAGGGTTGAGAGTTTTAAAACCTCAACTACTCCCATCGAAACCCGTGGCAAGGAGGGCCCCAAGCCATCAAAGACTTCTTCGCCGCCCTCTTCTTCGACACGGTCCCCGTGGCCTTGCGGCGGCTTCGCCTGGAAGGCCGGACACTGGCAGGTGAGTTTAGGGTTAATGGTTTCGGGTTTAGGGTTTAGGGTTTCGGGTTTAGGGTTTAGGGTTTAGGGTGAGAGTTCGGGTTGCTTCTTGCCATTCTGGAAGTTGTCTCCTCACCTGCAGCCAAACCTCTGAACCCCCCTGAATCCCATTAAAATCCCTTCAACCCCAAAAGCCTTCGAACCGAGTCCACATCGGCCTATAGCCTAGTCCTGAGCCGTGGCATCCGATTTTTGAAGCCCATTCAGGCCCTGTGAACCTTAAAGGGTAGTTCAGCCGTTCCTTTACTTGCAGGCTTCACGAGTATCGGGTCTTGCCGGTTTCGCCCCATGCGGGTCTTGGTCCTCTACGAGATTCGCCCCTTGCGGGTTGTCGCCCCTTGCGGGTTGTCGCCCCTTGCGGGTTGTCGCCCCTTGCGGGTTTGCGCCCCTTGCGGGTTTTCGCCCCTTGCGGGTTTTCGCCCCTTGCGGGTTTCCGCCCCTTGCGGGTTTCCGCCCCTTGCGGGTTGTCGCCCCTTGCGGGTTTCCGCCCCTTGCGGGTTTTCGCCCCTTGCGGGTTTCCGCCCCTTGCGGGTTTTCGCCCCTTGCGGGTTTCCGCCCCTTGCGGGTTTTCGCCCCTTGCGGGTTTCGCCCCTTGCGGGTTTTCGCCCCTTGCGGGTTTTCGCCCCTTGCGGGTCTTCGCCCCTTGCGGGTTATCGCCCCTTGCGGGTTTTCGCCCCTTGCGGGTTTTCGCCCCTTGCGGGTTTGCGCCCCTCGCCGCTTGCGGGTTGTCGCCCCTTGCGGGTTTTCGCCCCTTGAGGGTTGTCGCCCCTTGCGGGTTTTCGCCCCTTGCGGGTTTGCGCCCCTTGCGGGTTTGCGCCCCTTGCGGGTTTGCGCCCCGTGCGGGTTTTCGCCCCTTGCGGGTTTTCGCCCCTTGCGGGTTTTCGCCCCTTGCGGGTCTTCGCCCCTTGCGGGTTTTCGCCCCTTGCGGGTTTTCGCCCCTTGCGGGTTTTCGCCCCTTGCGGGTTTGCGCCCCTCGCCGCTTGCGGGTTGTCGCCCCTTGCGGGTTTTCGCCCCTTGCGGGTTGTCGCCCCTTGCGGGTTGTCGCCCCTTGCGGGTTTGCGCCCCTTGCGGGTTTGCGCCCCTTGCGGGTTTGCGCCCCTTGCGGGTTTGCACCCCTTGCGGGTTTTCGCCCTGTGCGGGTTTTCGCCCCTCGCGCGTTTTCCCCCCTGGCGGGTTTTCGCCCCTTGCGGGTTTTCGCCCCTTGCGGGTTTTCGCCCCTTGCGGGTTTGCGCTCCCTGCGCTCCTCCACCTTGCATAGACCAGAAACCAAGACCTTGCACCTTGCAAATAGCTTGAATGCACACATCGTGGAATCATACAGTCCTTCACTGCCCATGCTTGATCTAATCGCATGGACCCAGAAAGGGCCCCCAGCTTAGAGAAGTGACCGCGTCGCGAAGCAGCCCTGAACCCTAAACCCTAAGCCGTAAACCTTAAACCCTAAACCCTAAAACCTAAACCCTAAACCCTAAACCCTAAACCCTAACCTTAAACCCTGAACCCTGAACCCTAAACCCTAAACCCTCAACCTTCAACCTTCGACTTGCCGAGGCCAGGGCCGCTCCATGGCTTGTTTGCGGTCGCTGACCTACCACCAGGCCTGGGGCCTTATGGGCCGAGGGGGAGAGTGGGTTTAGAGGGTTCAGAGGGTTGGGAGGGTTTAGAGAGGGTTTAGAGAGGGTTGAGAGAGGGTTTAGAGAGGGTTTAGAGAGGGTTTAGAGGGTTTAGAGGGTGCAGGGAACGGGTTGGATGTTTGTCAGTGTTTTCTCGCCCGTGATGACCCCAGCGCCCACTCCGAACTTGAAGTGCCCAAAAACTGGAGCCCTGGCTTGGGCTTAGGGTTTAGGGTTTAGGGCTTAGGGTTTAGGATTTAGGGCTTAGGGCCCGAAACCCCCGCTATATGAACTCCCGCTGAAGTTCCTGGCCTCAGGGCCCCTCAGCCCATCCCTTGTAGGCACGAACCCTGGGTAGCCTAGTGGTTCCCCCGAGGATGGCAAGTTGATGCGCCGACCTGCAGACGGCGGATTGGTACCTGCCTCAGCTCTCTCACAATGTATATCACGGGCATTTTCCCTCCCAACAAAAGCGGGAACCCTTTACATAAGAATCCCTATTGCAGGACCCCCCCCCCCCCCCCCCCCCCCCGCCAAAAAAAAAGAAACCAAATGATAGCAAAAACAGGTACAGCACCCTGATCTTGGGTTCCCACTTGAGGGGGTGCAAGAAGCCCAAGGTTCCTTGCAAGCATCCATAGAAACCCTGAAGCCATCTAAGCGCCCTGAACCCCAAACCCATCTGAAGCCCTAAGCCTTAAACCCTAAACCCTAAACCCTATGCGGAGCTGCAATTGGTATTGTAGAAAGGAGTTAGTGTTGGAAGTTGGAAGGGTTAATGAACCCGGTAATCGTATTTGGCTCAAGATGGGCTTGAACAGAAAGCCACAAGTTCAAAAAGAAGTGCCTGGGTTCTTAGGGTTTGGTAAGGGTGTGGATTCCTTCCCCCTTTCCTTCCCCCCTGGGTTGCTCTTATCCGTGTTCTTGGTTGTTTCTTGGTTCGATCTGGGAAATATAAGTTCAGGGCGATTAGGGGAGTTGATTTCCTTCCTTGGTTGTCCCCCCGTAGGTTATGAGCCCAAATTAGGTTCCCTGCGGTTAAGTGTTCTTTCAAGGTTTTGGGATCAAGAAGCAATGCCTTCTCCGAAGCGATGGCTCCAACTTGCCTCGGATGGTGGACAAGATGGTGGAGCTGGAAATGGTGCAGCTGAGTCTCTGGGTGAAAGAGCGGTGTTGGAAGAGGTGATTCCCGACGCTGAAGAACATCTGGAAGAGGCCTTGGTTGCAGAAAGCCCCAATGTGGGTATGAATCCCAATAGGGATATGGTTAGCAATGCTGAAGCTGAAGGACGTGCTGTTTCTGTACCGCCAAAGCCTGGTGAAAAAAGGAACTGGGATGCGACTGGTGGCATAGATCGTGAAATGGAGGTGACTGTTTTACGAGTGTTACACAAACACGGGTACCAGCCGTCGTCTTCGACTTCGGGTCGAATGGTAGACCAAGAGTCTCAGACCGATCTGATTGGAGAAGTGCTACAAGCGACCAGGAGGCCGTTGAACAAGATCAAAAAGGGTCCATCTTCGAGTTCCCAAGGTGGTGGAAGCGGTCACAAACAGAAGGGTGCGGACGGCTTTGAAGCTGCACCTGCTGCTGAATACGCCATGGGGGAGGAGGAGATCCTACAGATGGAGGCTGAACGGTTGCGACAGCTGTCAGAAGAAGAGGACGAGATGCGACAGGTTTCTGAAAGGGACGGTTTTCGGAAAGACGAGCATCTGATCCAAGCGTGTGATGGCACAATGTGGGAATTGCACCTCCATGAAGATGGGAGACAATATTATTACTGCCTGGATACGCACGAAACCAAGTGGACATTGCCGGTGGTAGGTGAAAAGGTGAAGAGTGACGAGGTGGTTGGGTCTCCTTTGGGCAATGAGCTGGAAATGGAGGCGGCACTGGATTCTTCATCCTCTACTCCGAAGACTGAGTCTACGAGGGCATTCCAGGGTAGTGTAAATAGTTTAGGTGAAAAAGATTTTTCCTCTACTATCAGGGATAGCGGTCCTAGGGCTGATGGTGACGCCCCGACCCCGGGTTCTCCTGATGAGGAAGGGATTCCTGGGAACCAAGCCAACATCGCTGGAGCTCAACACCTGGATCGGGAAGAAACAGAAGCGCTTTCTGAGGGTGGGGCAGCGATGGAATTGGTGGATCCAGAAGAGAAAATGCCCAATGAGGTGATCGGAACTGTGTCGGCTGCAGAAGAGCGAGTGGTGGATGTGGTACCTGTTGTTCAGGAAGGTGGTCCTGGAGATTCGGAGGATGGAGAGAAAAAGTTGTGTGTTACGACTGAGGAGGTCTCTTCGTTTGGTGCCAAGAATTCTGCCATTCAAGGGGAAAAAGAAGCTTCTGGAATAGCTGGAGACACGGATGATCTGAAAAATGAGGCCTGGAGCGCCAATGATGCGCGGGTTGATGCGCCAGATATTACCTGGAGTGCGAAGGAAGCACGGGTTGAGGTGCATGTGGTGGTACGTTCCACGGGCGACTGCAACAATGGGGCGCAGGTCTCCGCAGCAGCTGATGATGGAGGTTCACAGGTGGACGCACTGGTGCAACCTGAAGTTAGCAGCGAGGAACGAAATGACAAGGGCTACACCGGAGCCAATGAGGCAGCTGTGGTCAATGATGGTGGAAATTCTCCTTTGGAGGCCATGGAACCAAAGGAGCCTGCGGTGGAAGAAAGCGTGCCTGCCGTGGATGATCGACTCAATTGCCCTGCAGTGGAAGAAGATTTGCCTGCTGCAGAAGGTGAGACAAAGGACTCCAATGATGGGTCCACTCCCATGAAGGGAGAAGCGTTGCCGTCTGGAAGTTCACCGGAAGTCGACACCGAGCGAACTACAGCAGATGAGGCAAAGCCGGTGGCGGAGAAAAAGGGAGGTCCTAAAATCCAGGAGCACAAAAAAGATGAGCTTGTGGGACTCGTGGAGCAGGACGAGCAGTGTGACCCAAGGTGAAGACAAAGGATGCGCCAGGAGCCGATGATACAGAGATGGTTTCTGAAGAGCGTGTAAAGAAAGTGCCCCGAGCGGGAGCCTTGGAGTCACCTGGGCCACATTGCTATCAAGAGGGAGATGAGATCATGGGTCTGGTGCGCTGCATCAATGGGTATGGAGCCTTTTTGGACCATGGGGATATGAATGTATTGATTCCTGCAGAAGGGAACAATGCATATCAGTTCAAGTTTGGTGATACTGTCAATGGAACAGTGAAACGAGTGGAAGATGATGGTACCATAATCTTGGACACCTTTCTGGTTTTGGAAGAGGACGTGGAGGACTCTTCTTCGACGCTGCGGAAGTGGAAACCCAGCGGCTGGAGTACGTGGTGGACGGATTCATGGTATGCTGGTCAATGGTACCAAGATTCCAACGGTCAATGGGACTGGAAACAGGAGGAAGAGCAATCCGATGAAGAGCTTGTGGTACAGGAGTTGTCTTCTGAAGAACGAAAAGAAAGGCAACTTTATGGAGAAAAGATCTACAAAGCTCTTCTGGAGAATGGAAATGAAGAGGAAGCCTATGTTGGCAAAATTACTGGGATGCTGTTAGGTCGGCCGATGGAAGATTTACAGGAGTGTGTTGCGGATCAGGCATTCCTCAATGCGGAAGCTCGGCGCGCGTATGGCATCTTGCAAAATGATGGTTGGAAGCCTGATGGTACAGAAAGCACAGGCTTGGGGAAGTTAACCACTTTTTCCCGAAAACAGTACCACAACGCGCTTTTCGAACTGGCATGTAGAAAAAGGAGATTTTCTCGACCAGTTGTGGGTGAAGCGGTGGCAACGGTGCTGAATCAAGGGGAAGATGAGTTTTGGAACGCGCTTTGGTTGGACACCAAGCTATTTTTGCAGGAGCTTGATGGTGCAGTGCAATCCATGAGCAAAAGGGAGAACAAGCCAATGGAAGCCTACATGGATCCTGACCAGTACAAAAAGGCTTACATGACACCAAAGACGGTGTTGTCACCTGGTTACAGCAAGCTGTGCAGGTTCTTCAATAAGGGAAGGTGTCGCAATGGCGATGGGTGTCCCTATGAGCATCGTCGGTACGGTGAAGGTTGGCCAGAAGGGGGGTCAACTGATCCAAAGAATAGCCAAGAAGCTGATGATGAGGACGGGAACATCGGTGACCCTCCCACAGAGGAAGGTACAGTGGATGAGGCACAGCAGGAGCGGGAGGATTTAGCCTTCCGGGCCAAGTACAATTTTGGCAAAGGTGCATCAAAGGGTGAGCCTACGTCGGGTGAGCCAAAAGGTCGTCTGTGTCTGTATTACAATCAAGGTGGTTGTAAATATGGGACTACATGCAGGTATCTTCACAACGATGACATAGCATTGGAAGGGACTTGGGAGCCCGGCAAAGCTTGGGACAATGCTTCCAGGAAGTCACTAAGGGACGCAGGGTTCCACCATTGCTGTTTCGATTATTACCTCAGAGGACGTTGCCGGAAAGGGTTAAATTTCTGCAAGTACTCCCATGACGAGATGTCAGAGGAGCGGCTGTCGCTCCTGAAACACTTGGTACAGGTGGCCAATCAGGTCCGGTTTGAAAAAGAGAGAGGATGGGAGCTTACGGATAGAAGCACTTTTCAGCCACCTGCGAGTGGGGGAGCTGAATCTTCCTCATCCTCGGCACCAAAAGCGCTGCAAATGACCAATGTGTCACAAAAAGATGGTGAAAAAGGTATTCTGGATGAAGTAGAAGCTGATGAGCAAAAGAATTCGGTGGCTGCATCCACTAGTACTCAGCTTCACAATCCGGAGGAGCCGATTGAAAATTGGATGGCTCGCAACGCACACCTGTGGGTGTATACCCCTCATGTAAGTGAGGTGATGATTACGCTTGGTGTGACCAATGTGTCGGACTTGCAAGAGTTCATCTTTGTGGAAGATTTGGTTGACAAAGGGATCAACAAAGTGACCGCATGCAAAATTCTGCAATTGGTGGGTGAGGTCCGATATCGACCGGGAGGACCGGAAAAGGCAGTTCCTTCTGATGCATCTGTACGGGTACAACAATCTTCTGGGAACAAAGGGACTGGAAGAGCGGCGGTGCGAACCCTCACTCAGGTGCGTGAAGCTGAAGACTCCGGTGCAAAAACTATGCCGAGAGGTTCCTATCGGGAGCTTTTTGATAAGGTCAGGTACCGTGATGGTTGGACGCTTGCGCAGAGGTCTCCGTTGTGCGTACAGAAGCTGCGGTTGGTGGGAGTTGGAATGCCGCCGGTGAATCCACCAACGAAAAAGTATCGGTCAAGATCAAACCCTGTAAGAAGGGGAAGGCCCTTGCTGGACAAAAAACAGGTGCGACAGGTGCCACGATCTCGGTCACAACGACGAGTGCAACTGGCGGAAGTGGTGGAAAAACCGAAGCCACTGGAGCCGGTGAAACCTCGTGGTGGTTTGTCGTATCCATTCAGCAGAGCGTGGGCAGATGTGGTGGATGATGATGACCAGGCGGAGGCTTTGGTCTCGTATGCCGCTTCCTCAAGCGATTCAAGCGAGGAGGAGACCAATGCGGTACAACGCCTGAAGGAACTCTTTTTGCAAGAAAGGGATTCGTGGAGAACTGCGAGTCGTGGCAATGTTCCACAAAGTGGTTCTTCAGGCTCCAATGATGGGCCGAAAAAATCGGTTCACCTTGGCGAAGGGCGCGACAAAGCGTCGCGGGGGGAGACCCGCCAAGAAGTGACTTCACAAGTTTTTTCGCTACCACAACCTTCTCGTCGAGCTGAACGGTCTCAAAAAAGAACAAGGGATGGTTCAGTTATGGTTGGTTCGCTGGCGGTGGGCTCCACGGATGAGGTTTTACCTGGGCAAGGTGCTGCTGGACAGGTGAATGTCTCTGAAAGCGCTCAAGTTCTTCCTGGGCATGAAGTGGCTGGACAGGAGACGGCGCCGGAAGGAGCAGTACAGATTTCTGGCGAGGAGACCGACCAAAAAGAAGGAGAAGGCGGGAGCAATGATCTCCGTGGTAATGATGCGAAGATGTTGGATGGTGGTCCGGTGAGGAGTGACCTTCAGCAATTGCTGGTGAAAGGCCTTCTGACTCGAATTTATTGGAAGGTTGCAGTTGGCAAGTTGCCAATGGGGCAAAGAGATTGCCAAAAAGGGTCCAATAAGATGGATCGAAATTTGGTTATTAGCATGTCATCCGAGGGTGCAAGCGAACAGGATGAGAACCTGGCACTGGAGGACGATGCTGATCAGTCAATGGGAGACGGTGCAATGGTTATGGTGTATGATCCAGGAACGCTGATCCAGTCGCCAACAACTGATTGGGTTATGCGTCGCGGTCTGACCGATCGTACCGTCTGGCCAGCAATGGCGCACCTGGCACAGAGGATATGTGCTGAAATGGTTCAAGTGGATGAAATGAATGCCCAGCTAGGGACTGGAACACTCCTTTTTCAAAGGAGAGATCAAGGATATTATACTGACCTGCATCATTCGTTCCATGACAACCCGTGCTTGCCGGCGGTGGGGAATTACCCTCTTTCGGTGATGGGTGCCTTGTTGTCTCCTGGTCTGGAAGGGGAATTCAAGAATACGGACAAGTTTGGTACTGCTATGGAGGCAATTGCCTATGATTGGAGCCGCAGTCCAGGCATGGAAGTTCATATTGAACTTATGGCGAGGGTAGCCAAAATGGTTCACCCATTCCTGAATCTGGGAGCACAAGGGTCGGTGATGGTTTCAGAATTTCTCTGGCAGCGCGGGAGGGCTCGGTTGATGGAGTTTCTTCAAGCGGCGACTTGTGCGGACCAATTGGAGGCTCTCTGGAGAAGGATGGACGACGATGCGGATGAGGAGGTGGATCCTTCGACAGCGATGCTGGAAGTTCTTGGACTAGAGGATGCGGTGCTTGATCAAGGGAACAATGAATCCCTTATTCCCATTGAAGATGCTGGAGGTGAGACAAGCGGTGACACTGGAGGGAAGGGCAAAGCGCCAGAAGTTTCTCCGGAAGAGGAGAAATCCAGTGGGTCATCCAGACTGGCGGACACAAGGATTTTCTTGTGGTCAGTGTACTCCCGCGTGGCTTCGAATTTCTCTATGCAGGACCGCACTACTGGTAAGATCTTTGACAGCACCAAAGGATATCCTGGTGAAGGACCAAACAATGATGACAATCCTTCCTCTAAGGGGAACTTTCCCTGGATTTCAGAAGACTACCTCGACGAAGTGGTGTCAAAAAAGATGGAAAGGTCTTCAGAGATGGATGGGTTTGTTCCGGGAAGTGAGGGATCATTGGAAAAGGTAGAGGTGGAGAATGTTACTGCCTCTAAAATTCTTATGGCTCTTTGGAAGAAGGGACATAGAGTTGGGTTTAGAAGGTTGCGTCGTTTGAATGCATCTGGATGCAAGGTTGGAGCAATGAAACGTCCAATCAAAAGGGTGCAGAAGATTGGCGCTAGGAAGGCCTTCATGAAGATGTTCAATGTTTTTGGATCGTCTCAGCATGGCTCAGGAGTTGGCGGAAAACCGATCATGAAGGTGGTAGGACCAAGGCCAGGTTTTCCAGCTGTACTCCAAGCACCAAATACTGATAGCACGTCGGGTGAAGGGAGCAGTCCCCAGGTACATGGCAATGTTCATGTAGAGCACAGTCGCCCTATGGACCGGTATGAGGCAGAGCGCTTGGAGAAGAGGAAGAAGGGTTTCTGCTATTGGTTTGGCAAAGGGAAAGATCGCTGCAAATTTGGTGACGACTGCAAATTCATCCATTCCGAAGATGATGTGGTGCTACATTCATATTGGTGCAAGTACTATGTGGCAGGGAGAGAATGTTTCGCTGGAAAGGATTGTGAGTTCTCGCATGATGCAACTGGTGTGAGGTGCGTCCAGTTTGCTCGGTCTGGGAAGTGTCGGTTTGGTGACAGGTGTGTCTTTGGACATGAGGTTCCGTTGGAAAAACAGAGGCCAAGGTCTCCAAGGACGCCCCCAAGGGATGGTCCAAGGAGAAAGTCTGGTGCAAATGGTGGAAAAAAGGAGATCTCTCCTGAACAGTTCGGTGATGATGAGGAGGATTTTATGGTTTATGACGAAGAGACCAAGATGACGGAACTGTTGATGGAGGCGATTTCATTTCTGTCCAATGGCAAGTCAGATTTGGCTCGAGCAGAGGCGGACCCATTGTTCAAACTCCTGAAGATCACTGGAGATGCTGACTACATGGATCAAGTATGGGTTTCGTGGACCACTGAAATGTTGTCAGTGCTGGAACTTCTCGAAGTAGTGAAGTCGTACGATGTTTCGCTCGCGGAGGTGGAAGAATGGGTCAATGACCTGAGGATATGGTATGAGCGAGCCAATTTGGGAGAAGAAAAGGATCCCAAAAAAGGGAAAAAGAGGTCCCTAGAAGGGGAGTCCAGCAAAGATATTCCTGCCGAAAAAGAAGTGGTTGAGACTTCGGAGACGGAGGTTGCCGTTGAGGAGGAGAAGAAAAAGGTAAAAAAGAAGAGGAAAGCTGCAGCTATCGAAGATCCTTATACCCTCATGGTTCCAAAGCCGAAGAAGATGCCGGCGGTCATTGAGAAGGGTGGATCATCATCCAATGTGGTGGTTTCTGCAGTGGAAAAAGCCTCAAAAGCGCGCGCAAAGTCAAATGTCGGTGGAAAGACAAAGAAGAAGGAGAAAAGTCAGAGTCCCAAAAAAGAAGAGGTGGTAATGGTGCAAGATCCTGAGGAAAAGGATCGTCCATCCGATGCGGAGGCGCCAGGGTCTGCCAATGCGAATGAAGAGCTGGATCAATCTTGCCAGGCGATTGAGGATGCGAAGAGAGAAGGATTGGTATCCTCAATTCAAAGGGGCATACAGGATCCTATTCTTACGATTTCGGACCTGGAGTATATTCTGCTGCAACTTCACCTCAAGATTGCCAACAATCGGAAAAAGAAGTGATTGGATGGTATGGATGAAGGGATGGTTTTTCTCTTTCTGGAGACCGGTGCGCTGGAACAGCCAATGTGCTGACAATGTGGTGGTTACTATTAAGGGTATGGAAATCCCTGATAGTAGGAGTCAGTAGCTTTTCGCGTAGCGAAGACCACGGTTTGTGGTGAAGAAGGCCAAGGAGTCTTCAGTGATGAGAGGATCAAGGTGAAAAAAGATTCTCTATGGGTAGTAGGTTAGCCAATGTGCTATAATTCCGTCCTGGAAGACGTTAAACCACAATTTGCATTTCAAGCAGCTGGCTGCTGCCGTAATGGCAGTTTTTGGCCAAAAGATCTGCATCTCCAATGTGTCCTAGGAAATCCTAGGACAGGGGGAGTGCGGAGCTGCAATTGGTATTGTAGAAAGGAGTTAGTGTTGGAAGTTGGAAGGGTTAATGAACCCGGTAATCGTATTTGGCTCAAGGCTCAAGATGGGCTTGAACAGAAAGCCACAAGTTCAAAAAGAAGTGCCTGGGTTCTTAGGGTTTGGTAAGGGTGTGGATTCCTTCCCCCTTTCCTTCCCCCCTGGGTTGCTCTTATCCGTGTTCTTGGTTGTTTCTTGGTTCGATCTGGGAAATATAAGTTCAGGGCGATTAGGGGAGTTGATTTCCTTCCTTGGTTGTCCCCCCGTACCCTAAACCCTAAACCCTAAACCCGAAATCCTAAATCCCAAATCCCAAGCCCCAAACCCTACAAACCCGCCTAACCCCCCAAGCCCTCAAGATCAAGATCCTTGGGCTCTGCGGGAGGTCCCCGTTCGCGCGGCCCCGCTCGAGCGGTATCTCAAGGCCAAGTCCTGGGACCCGCCCAGGCCCGCTTAGGTTTCGGGTTCTAGGGTTTGGGTTCTATAGGTTTAGGGTTTAGGGTTTAGTTTCCAGGGTTTAGGTATTGCGGTTCAGGGTCTGTATCGTTTGTGCAGCCCCTTATAAGATTCCTAGGCAACATACTTGAAAAGAAGGCTTTGGGTTCTGAAGGTTTAGGGTTTAGGGGCAGAGGTTCAAGGGTTTTTGGGCCTAAGGGTTGAGGGTCGCCCGGAGGTGGTTTCAGCTCATTGAGACCCTACCCGTCAAAGAGCATCAGCCCTTAGGTTGCACCCCAAAACCCCAAAAGGTTTAGGGCTTAGGGTTATATAACCCTCAAACCTTAAACCCAAGGAGCCCTGCTAAAAAGCCTGAAGCGTTTGGGTTTCTAGGGAGCTCAAGGCATGCTACCCTGCCCGGCAAGCCGCTAAAGTTTCACCCTCGGAAGCCCTTTGCGTGTGCAGCCTTACCTTCAACCCCCCCCCAGGAGGCCTCCCCTTTTTTGGCTAGGCTACAGGTGCAGTGGGTGTTCACAATGGCCTGCAAAGAAGGTGGGTCTTGGGTTCTTATAAACAGTTCCTTGAACCCTAAACCCTAAACCCCTTAAACCCTAAACCCTAAACCCTAAACCCCTTGGTTTCGAGCTTGCCTTCCTTGAAACCCGCAGGACCTGGATCTCGGGCCTGGCCGAGTCGCTGCGCCAGCGTGGCGCTGCGCAGCTGGTGCAGGCGGCCCAGGCCGCACGGTTTAGGGTTTAGGGTTTAGGGTTTAGGGGTTAGGGGTTAGGGTTTAGGGTTTAGGGTTTAGGGTTTAGGAGGGTTTAGGGTTCGGGGCTTCGGGGGTTCAAAGTCTAAGGGTTGTTTGGGGTTTTGGAGTTTTACGGTTTTAGAGTTTTAGGATTTTAGGGTCTACAGGATTTCAGGGTTTAGGGCCTGGGGGGGGGTTTTAGGTGTTGATGGTTTTAGGGTTTGCGCTGTTTAGGGTTCTGGGGGCTTACGGGTCTTAGTGTGCAGGGTTCATAGGGTTCAGGCTTCAACAGGTTTAGGGGTTTTTTTGAGTTCCGGCCGTCAAGTTTCTTCAGGGGCTGCAGGGCTTCTAGGGTTCAGAGGCATAGCGTTCAGTATTTAGAGTTCAGGGTTTAGGGTTTCTGGGTTTCTGGGTCTCCGGACGTACGGCTCATCTGTGAACTTGGATGGGCCCTCCAGTGAGTAGGAGCTCTGGATTCGACTTGGGCTATGCTTGCCCCAAACCTGACAAACCCCAAACCACATGTTCATCATGCAATTAAGAGTTGTTGACCTTTTGGGGGGGCTTTGGGTGGTTGATTTGGGGTCTTCAGGTTCCGTGCTTTGGGCTTCTGAATTTAACGTCCGGGTTTTTAAGGTTTAGGGTTTGGGGTTTAGGGTTTGAGGAAGCCGACAGTGAGCCTTCGAAGCCCCCTACCACGAGAACCCCTCAGCCAGCAGGCGGGAAAGGGGAGTCGTCTCCAAGTCTGCATATGGAGATTGCATCCAACGTATGGTTACGGAACCAACTGCACATGAAATGCTCCGCGTTGTTCGCGAAGAATCCATCGCATGGAAATAAGAGGGGCTACCTTCTGCTGAGAGTTTTCTCCAAAGCAACCCAAATCCTCCCTCCCCCCCCAACCCACCCTCGATGCGAGGAGTGGTACCTGGCGGCTGTGAGCCACATGCTCCAGGATCCCAAGGCACCTCAGGGTTTTAGATTCCTTAAACCCCAAACCCTGAACCCGAAGCCCAAAACCCTAATCTTGAGTCTAAACCTGCTCAGGTCTTCGGGTTTAGGGCTAGGGCGTTTAGGGCTGCAGGGGAGGAGCTTAGGGCTCGTAGCCTTGAGCTCTAGACCACAGCTCTCAAAGCCAAGACTTCATGACAGGTCTTTGAAGCTTGCTTCCCCTCACAAAGCCCAACCCTCCCTCCCCAGCGCGCCGACGACGATGGGGACTACTTCCTCGCCTGGCTGCGGGAGTGCTGCCGCGAGGCCGGCGTTTTTTTTTGAAGGGTCTTGGCTTTGGGGTTTAGGGACGCTCTCTAAGGCACCCTCATGGTCCTAGTACCCTATCGTATAGGCTTGATGGGTTTAGGGTGTTAAGGTTAAGCGGTTGGTTGTCTCCACATTTTAGTATCAGTAAGAAGTTGTGTTTTTTGTAGCAGCATGTTGATTGTCATATCCATTCTTGATATTCTTCGTGATGCCAATATTTTTTTAAAGTGGTTCTATTTTTGCTACTGGGTAAGACCTTTGTCCACTTCGAACCGTGGTGCAGGCTTTGCGCAGGGTACTAGCCCACATCCCAGCGGTTACGTAGGGCTTGGGGCCTACAGGAGCTTGAATGGGTGGTCGCAGGCAGGGTTTGCTCTCTCACTCTCTCTCTCTCTCACACATGAAGCAGGTGTACGATGACGTTGACAGGACCGGTGATGCTTCTTACTGCAGTCACCATGAACCCTTACCCTAGCGCCCAGAGCTGCTTCCGACACAGCGTGAGCTTGGTCGCTTCTCCTAACCCAAAGTCACTGTTGCCTCTTCAGGACAGATCCAAAGGAGCTGCGAAGCATGAAGAAAGTCAGGAGCCTGGGTGCTCTTCACCTGGAACCTAAACCCCAAAACGCCGCCGAAGATTCAGCTACTGCTTCTTGAGGCATCCCCGAGGTGTGTGGTGCTAAAACCGCTACTGTTCACAGATGAGGGATGGGAGGCTCCGAACCTGCAGGAGCGTGAAGAACAAGTCCAAGCGATACAACCTCGCCGGCATCCGCATCCCGAGCATGGAGGAGCCTTTTTAGGGTGCTATCCAAACCCTATAGGTTTTTATTGAGGGTGTAGGGTTTCGGGCTCAGGGCTTAGGGAGTTTCACATCCCTGCTCCCTCTGCAAGACACCAAAACGCAATAATCCTAAACCCCAAATCGCTAAACAGCTTTAAAGCATGCTAAAGCCCGCGATGCCGGAGTCCACGGGGGGGGCATGTGGTCAGGAAGCCTTTCGAGAGCTTGCCGAGTTTGAGCCCAAGTGCGGCGCTCAGGGGTCTCGAGGTTTCAGGGCTTAAAGGTTTGTTTTGATGTTCGGGGCTTTGGAGTAGAGGCTTCGGGTCTCTTCGGGAGTCTGCTGGGTTTTGAGGTCCAAGTTTGAGTGCTCGGAGTTTCAGTGTTCGGTTCCCTTAAAGCCATGATCCGTTGATTCCTGAGTACGATAGGCTTAGAAAGGAGCAAAAAAGGCCCTCCCCATCCGCCCCCCATGAAGGGACGCAACGCGGACGGCTGACCCGTGTACGGTGTTTGATTTGCTGCATAAGTTCAAGGGTGTATGGGAATGCGGAGGCGAGGGCTTCTGGGTTCAAGCTGTCCGCAGTCTGCCCCACTTCGGGGTGTTGCGAATTGAGGTCGGGCAGCAGCCGGAGACAGCGTGCCAGGACCTGAGCCGAAGTTAAAAATGTGTACGGAAGCGAAAGGAGCTGTGTGGAAGTGTACAGCTACGAAATAGGTGAAGTGTTTTAGGGGACAGGGGTCTTGGGGTACTTGGAGAACCTCTAAGCAGCTTGGCATGGGATGTGGGTGAAGGATTGAGCGGCAGCTGTGGATCCAAGTGACTGGTAGGGCCGACCCGCAGCTTCCTGTCGTGAGGGATGCTCCATGCTGGCAAAACCTCGGCAGCTCCTCGGTGGAAGCCTTGTGAATCTTGGGATCAGCATCCGCAGAGGACAAGGCCAAGGCCACCTGGGGGCTTTGGGGCCTGGAAGGCAGGCAAGGCGTCACCCGCGTTGTTTGCGTTGGTGGGTGCTTCTGCCGCGTGCTGCCCAATGTGCCCACGGCAGCCCAGCACTGTCAGCAGGGGAAGGAGCCAGGCCCGTAGGCAGATTGGGCAGGTCAGCAGGCTCAGTGGGAAGAACGGCCGGCAAGCGACGCAAGCGCCCATACAGTACTGCGACGGCCTGATGCTCGGGGGCCGACCTGCTTCCGTTTGGCTGCCAGCCCAGGGCTCCGAAGGCCCGACGATGCCAGCATACTCCTACACCTTCAGTTCACGAAAGCTGTGTGGAAGTGTTCTAGGACTGCCGCTCGGTTCCGAGGCGGTCGTTACTGATGTGCCGACCTCGTGCGAGGTAGTTTGTTCTGAGATGCCCTCAAGCATCACTGCCCGCGGAGCGGTCCTGGTCCATGGCCTCCTCTGTTCACGCCTGGACCTGGCGCACATCGCCGAGCAGCTGGCGGTCAGGGGCTTCACTGTGGTAGCCCCAGAGATGGACGACTCCGTGAGCCACGAGGGCGCCGTGGTGCCTGGTGGCTTTGTAGGCGAGCTGATGGCCCGTGAGGCAGGTGAGGCCCGGCGCTGTGAGGTGGCCCGGGAGGCCGTCGCCTGGCTACGCCAACGGGGCGCCCAGCAGGTGGGGCTTGTGGGCCACTCACGGGGTGGGGTCACCATCTCCCAGCTGGAGGGGGACTTTTGCCGTGTGAACCTGGCAGGCTTCCAGCCGCCTCCCGTAGATCCAGAGGAGACCTTCTCGCCTTCTGCGCGGCACGGGCCGATGCTCATCATCTGTGGCCAAGATGATGAGGTCTGTACGCGACCACCGCTTTCCATGGAATATGTGCAAGATACCGTCCGAAGACTGCTTCCTACTGCTGAGACCTGGTATCCTGCCGGCGTGGGCCACTTCTCCGTCCTGAATCCGGGTGTTGTCTCTCAGTGGCGGCGGCTGTTAGGGTTCGCTGGCTTTCTCGCCCCAGAGCCTCCAAATGGCGAATTGTCGCAGGCTGTGGTCGAACGTGTGGCGGTGTTCCTCGACTCCGTGATGCCTCGGCCAGCTGAGACATGACAAAAGAAGAGCCATCAGTGAAGTATTGCCTGCTTCATCTAGATCCACAAGGGATGAATTGACGGGCATTCTTCGCGCAGCGCAGTCGATACTTTGTGGGGGTGGTTGGGGGTTGGGGGTTGGGGGGTGGTTCGAAGAGTGACCCGAAATCCGCCGAAGGCCTGGTCTCCTATTCTCTGCCGGCCCAAGGTCCTGGCAAAGATCCTCATCGATGTGTTCCAGCTGCGCCTAGTGGACCGGAGGGCTCTGAGTGCTGCGCTTTTGCAGAGGTTTGGGGTTTGGGATGAGAGGATTTGGGGTTGAAACCCCAAAGTCCTGCACCCCCAACCCCATTCCCGAAAACCAGCGCCAAAGTTCTACGTCTTCAAGGTTTATGTAGGGCTTGTAGGGTTTCTAGGGTGCGTAGTTTGTTGGGGTTCAGAGAGGGTTTGTAGGGGTTCAGGGGTTTAGGAGTTCGGGTTTGGTGGAGAGGGCCCAGAGTGTTAATTCGAACAAGATTGGCCCAAAGAGTCATGCCCAGTAGCTCCGCAACCCGAGGCTTGAAGGCCGAAGCGCCATCACCACTGAATGCAAGCCCTGCAAACGCTTGAAACCGACCAAGAAACATAAAACAGCCCTGCAAACCCTCACAAAACCTCTGAACCGGCTAGCAACCCCAAACCCTCAACAGCACAACAAATCCTACGAACCCTCAAAAGTCCCTTAATCGGCCGCTAGAATCCTCAAAGCCCTGGAAAACCCTTAGCAAAGACCTTTAAAAACCTCTACCCTCTACCCTAAACCCTAAACCCTCTACCCTAAACCCTAAACCCGAAACCCTAAACCCTAAACCCGAAACGCTAAACCCTAAACCCCCTAAACCCTAAACCCTAAACGCCGGGCAGCTCCATAGGACTTGGCGGCCATCCTCAGGGTCGCTGACTGCGTGCTCTCGGCCGGGGAGGCCGAAAGGAAGTTTCGGGTTCGCATCGGGTTTGGTTTAGGGTTTGGGGTTTGGGGTTTGGGGTTTAGGGTTTAGGGTTTAGGGTTTGGGTTTAGGGTTTAGGGTTTAGGGTTTAGGGTTTAGGGTTTAGGGTTTAGGTTTTGGGGTTTAAGCTTTAGGGTTAGGTTCAATAAGAGGGTTGGTTTCGGTTTGCAAGAGGCTCGTTAGGATTTACAGGCCGCACCTCGGTTTTTTTTTGGTTTGTACGGTTTAGGGCTTAGGAGGTTGTTAGGGGTTCATAGGGGAGGCCTGGGTTTTGGGGGCTTCATTTGTTTACGGTTCAGGTATCAGCATTGTGAGGTAAGGGTTCATGTATCAGGGTTTAGAGCAAAAAACCCCAAATCTCCCCCCAAAAGAACCCGCTGTATTTCGTCCCGCAGGATTGCTTGCGGCATTGTAGGCTGTACATCGTGCCTTCTAAAAGGGTGGAGATGTTCCTTGGGTCGAAGGCCCCCCGTACTGCCCCCCCCAATCCTGTTACCATCCTTTTGGGGTCGACAGTTGAGGGTCTAAATTCTGAGCTCGATGCCCGAAGATAGGGGCCGGAAGGATTACGACTAGCATTCCCCCATGGTTCCTATACTATCATGAACCCCCCAAAACCCTATTCTAATCATTAAGGCCCCTCGACTACGCTGTTCTGCCAGGATGAGGAAGTGGTGGTTGTTCTGTATGCGGGAGGCGGCTCTTGCGTGCGCGCTGGGGTGAAGGGTCTCAAGGTTCGGGGCATGTACTAAAATCCCCGTGAGAAGTGGAGTCCAAAATGCTCTCCTCTATCGTCATCACTGTGGTTCTCTGGTACCGACATCTTTTGGTCCCTGCGGGGTCTGAGGTTTCGTTCTCAGGCTTTAGCGAGTTGAGCTCCATGAGAACTGCACAGAGCTGCGATACTCTACGCTGGCGGCTGCTCAAGCCACCTGTGCCCCAAAGCATTGCCCAGAACCCATAGGAGCCATGAGCCTTCAGCAGTCTGTGGCCTTGCGGCGCCTGCGCGCCGACTGGGAGGAGCTCCAGCAGTTCCCTCTACGAGGCATCGCGGCGGCACCGCTGGCAGAGAACCTCCAGGAGTGGCATGCCAACCTCACTCCCGAGCATGGACACTACGCCGGGCTGCTGCTGCATGTGATCCTCAGCTTTCCGGACAGCTACCCCACAAACCCTCCCAGGGTCAGACTCTGTACCAACATCCCCCACTCCAACGTCATCCCTCAAATGCGTCAAGAGAAGAACTTCATCTGCATCGATATGCTCAAGAACTTCTTCTGGATGGGTGGCGAGGACAGCAGCAGGCCCTATGAGGGATGGAGCACCGCCTACGGTGTCTCATCCATCCTCCTGCAGGTGCAGTGCTTCTTATTTGACGACTGGGCTCAGAACTACGACGGTCGTTACAAGCACACGCTCTGGGATGCCGTCATTGAGGAAGGCGGCCATCGGAGAACGGCCTCGGAGGTGCGGCGGCGCCTGCAGCTCGCCCAGGAGGAGGCCGTCGCCTTGAAGTGCCACTGTGGGCACTGTGGGACCAAGCCATGGCCCGAAGTATCCGAGGTCCGGATGCCACGAATCCCTGGCATCCACCTGGCGGGGGACACTGTGGAACTGGACGGCCGGCTTTTCCGCATCGACCGCGTCCTCGCAGACGGCAAGTTCGAGGTCACGATGGTCACGCCAGAGGGAGGCGAGCCAGGCGAGCCCCTCACGGTGACCGCCTTGCACTTCGGGCCCGGCCCGTATCCTTGGACCCAAGAGCCTCCCAAGAGCCACACAGTCACCAGCGCGCCCTCTCAAGCGCTTGCTGCTAAGCCGATCGGATGCCAGCTTGAAGCCGAGGTGGGGAGTAGCTGCAGCACTTTGCTTGACTCTTCCTCGGAGGCTCTGCACAGCGCCACGAGCGTCATCTCCAGAGGAGGGCTCAGCGACCTCCCCCTTGGGAGGAAGAGGCAGCGATGGCAAGATCTCCAAGTTGGCATGGAAGTTCAGGGGCGAGTCATGCGACAGCTGGACATGGGCTTCTTTTTGGACATCGGCTTCGCGGTTCAGGGCCTCCTCCGCAGGCGTGTGGTCCGTGGGCTGGAGCTCAAGGTCGGGGACTCTGTGAAAGCCTTCGTGGCGTCCGTGGACCAGGAGAAGTGGCGCGTGGACTTAGCTCTGCGGCAGCCAGTTGCGCCTGGAGACCTCGATGCATGGCAGGCAGCCGGGACGGAGGTTGTCGGCCTGGTCGTGGGTATCCAGCCCTATGGCCTCTTCGTGGATGTCGGGGCTTCAGAGACGGGCCTTGTGCACGTTTCGCGGCTGGGCTCCCTGCAGGTCTCTCACATCCAGCTTGGAGACGAGGTGCACGTGCAGATCACGGCGCAACAGCCCAAGCTGCAGCTCACAGTGCCTCGGCAGGCCTTCGTGGCGCCGGTGCAGGTTCAGGTTCAGGCACAAGCTGTGCAGGATTTGAGCATGGTGGAGCCGCTTCCCGGGAGCCTTGCCGCACTCCCGAAGCCGGTCTTTGCGCGAGTGCTGCTGGAAGGCCTGAACCTGGCCGACCTCGGTCACTTGACCCACGCCTCGAGGTCATTGCGGACTATGGCAGATGAGGCTTCGAGCATTTTCTGGGATGTCCGTAGCCTCTGCTGCTTCCACACACGTGCGCGCTTCAACGAAGACGGCTGCATCCTGGGCGTGGGCATAGCCATTGTGGAGGAGGACGGCCGCAAGCACCTGACCTGCGACTTCGACCCTCTTTCTCAACTCGCTTTCGACAAGCTTGGTGTTCGCAAAGGGGTTTGGAGAAACCAGATCTCCTACTGGTTGCCGCTGGCCGTAGATGCCCAGCACTTTGACCGGGCTGCAGTCAGCCTGTGCAAGGTTCTGCAAGTGCTGGGCACTGGCAAGGTGGCAGAGCAGACCCGATCCTTCGGCCGTAGACCTGCGCCCGGCTCCTGCGAACCGGCCAGCGCTCACACCATGAGCTTCGACGAGTGGTTGGCAGCTCGGGCCAAGAAGTCCCAGAAGGCGAAAGACAAGTTCGAAGCTTTCCGGGCCGGAACTCTGCAGGTCAAGCCAGCTGCACCCAAGGAGAAGGCCGAGAAGGCCGAGCCAAAGCCCAGATTTGACCCATCCATCGTCCTGGATGTGCTTCCGAAGCTGATGAACTCGCAAGTGGTGCTTCTGATGAAAGGAGAGACGTGGGCCTCACACAAGGCGCTGAGTGGTTACATGGGTTTCCACCACCTCCTCCTGTCCATCTGCCGTGCCGAGCCGCTGGTGCAGGCAGAAGTGGAGAGGCGCATTGCCCAGTTCATGTCAGATGAGGACCAGAGGGTGAAGGCGAAAGTCCCGAACCTGGGGGAGTTCATCTGCTTGCTCGCCGCATCGGAGAAGTATGACTGGCCATCCGTGGCGAGCCCTCTTCTTGTGGAGGTCTTCGACCGAAACGTCCTCTGGCTGCTGAAGAAGTACCCGCATCTCGGCAAGCTGAGCGACGTGGGCGTCAGCCAGGAGCGACTCCGGGCCACGTTCCAGGCAGCCTTGGTGTCCATGCGTCTGATCATGTTCAATGCCTGGTTTCTCAACAACGTGGCAAAGCCTGCAGCAGGCAGGATGCCATGTAGTGGTTACTTGTGGGCTTTTGTTTCGGAAGTTTTTTTTGTTTGGTATGGTTTTTCGGTCTTGTTGTCTGAAAAGATAGGAACAGCTGAATGAAAGAAAGAGAGAGCAACAGGAAAATGCAGCAAACACAATCAAGAAGGCGAGTACGACGAAAACCAAAAGGGACAACCCCAAACCTGTAAACCTTCGAGCCCCAACCCATACACGCCAACTGCAAACCCGTAACCCCAAACCCCAAACAGGTAAAGCCGCAGAGAACATAGGAAACCTAGCACTAGCATGCCAGCAGGGAGGAGCACAAGAAGAGAAGGAAGACCCGGCTCCCGCAGGCGGCGCGGCGCTGGCCCGGTACGAGCGGACAAAGGGCGTGCCCCCGCGGCACCAGATGGAAGCCGTGCACCGCACGGTGCGGAGGATCTGCGAGGTGAACTCCTGGGAGGGCTACTTCGATGCCCTCGGGGTTGTTAGAGTCAGCCCCCTGCAGCTTTGCGACTGGCTGCGCCAAAGCGTCCTGAACTCCATCCAGAAGGGCTACCATCGGCCGGGACGCTTTCAAAACAAGGCCAGGCCAGCACGGAACGACGACAATGGGGATGCTTATGACCAGTTGGCTGATGCATGGGAATAGGCCGTAGATGCTGCCCAGTTTTGACTTTTCCATCCTGGGTCCTCACTGGCCTGCGGCTCGTGAGCTCGTCAGCCGTCAGCGATGTGTACAGTGTATAGACTGTAGAGGTCCAGGTGTACAGTGCTGGCACATCCATGTGCTCAGATCCGCCGACAGGCGCGGACAGCAAGTTCATCGAACGCACTCCGTGCTTCATAACCAGGTTTCATGGTATCCTCGTAACCCGGGTTTTGCTCACCGAACACTGGTGGTTCGCGGGAAGGAGGTCGGCTGACCTTGCATGGGCTCAGGGGGCTCGGTGTTCTCCCAGGCCACCAGGGACAGCGCTTGTCCTCTTTTGGGCATCGGCTCCTCCTCTAAAGCCCTAAACTCTAAACATCTCTGCAAGCCCTAAACCCTAAACCGCCCTAAACCCTAAACAGCCTAAACCCTAGACCGAAAAGGCACAACAGGCTTCCGAGCCCCATCGCGCCTCAGCCCTCAAACCCACAAGTTCAAAGCCTTGCAGCCCTTCAGCCCTTTAAAGCTCGCCCTGCGCCCATGAAGACAATCCCCACTTCTAAGCCCTAAACCCTAATCCTAAGCCCTAATCTCTGAACCCTAAACCCTAAACCCTAAACCCTAAACCCTAAACCCTAAACCCTAAACCCTAAACCCTAAACCCTAAACCCTAAACCCTAAACCCTATCCCCTAAACCCTAAACCTTAAACCCTAAACCCTAAACCCTAAACCCTAAACCCTAAACCCTAAACCCTAAAACCAACAACTCCCCAAGATCGCAGCTGATCTCCAGGCGCCCACGCCCACTGCGTGGAGGAGTTCTGGCGGGCCCAGGGCTTCACGAGTGACGACCTGCCAAAGCGCGGTCTGGAAGCTTGGCAGCTTAGTTTTTTTGTTGACGTGGGGGTTGCGTGGGGTTTAGGGTTGGGTGGGGTTTCTTGGCTTACACCTGCAACCCTAAACATGGAATCGCCTTCGTAGGGATGCTTAAGTCATGTTTGGGCCTTCGGCGGGCGAGCCTAAACTCTTTGAGCAGATGCATCCCTCCTGGAGATCGGTTAGGAAGCAGCGTTTGTAGGCTTAGGGCTTAGGGGTTGGGCAGTTGGCTTTGGAGGTTTCGGCCCCGAAGGGGCTGGGCAGCCTGGCCGCCTGTGCCTGCGAACAGGTCCCAGGTGGGATTTGGGTTGTACCGTACCTGTCAATATTCGATCCCTACGCGTTGACTGCGGGGCTATGTGCGCCAGAGTTGCGGTCGCCTGTAGCCCGGCACTTCCGGTCAGGTTTAGGGTTTAGGCCTCACAGGGTTTAGGTTCAGGTTCTTAGAAACCCTAAACCCTAAACCCTCAACCCCAAACCCTAAAGCCTAAACCCTTGTTTGCCCGGTCGCCTGGGCCTTGCAAAAGTGCCCAAGCAGCCGAGGTGGGCAAAGACGACTGGGATGACGACGAGCCACGGGGACTGGTGCTGCCCAAGTACCTGCACCCTGGCCTGTTTTGGGTTTAGGCTTTCGGGTTCGGGTGTATAGGTTTCGTTTAGGTTTTAGGGTTCGGGGTGTATAGGGTTTAGTTTAGGGGGTAGGGTTTGGGGTATGGGGTTTGGGGTTTGGGGTTTACGGTTTGGGGTTTACGGTTTGGGGTTTGGGGTTTTTAGGGTTGCTGTGAAGGGGAGCTTAAATCCACCTCGTGCTTTCCTGCAGTTTAGGCCCCTGTTTGTGTTTGCGATGCTCACAGCCTTGGCTAGGAGCGTTGGGCTATCCTTAAGATTCAGTGGATTATAAGCCCTAAGTTAAGCCCCTTTAAGGGATTAGGGGTTCTTCGGATCCTGGAGCCTTGCGCACATTCCGGGTTGAGGCTTTCTGGGAGCCAAGGCACGATTTCGATTTGCTCTTCCCGCGGGAACCGGGCGCCTTGCGGTCAACTGACGCTGTGGCGCTGGCAGAGGCGGCGGACGCGGAAGCAGCAGAGGCGGCAGAAGCAGAAGCAGAAGCAGAAGCCAAAATGTGTTTTTGTTGAATATGGGGCGAAGCCTTGGGAGTCTCCTGAAATTTTTGAGGATACGACCGGTGTGCAGGGTGCACGCGCTGGGGCTTTCTTCACGTTTGGGCTTAGGGGGGGGGTTAGGGGGGCTTTTTGGGTTTCGGCGGGTGGCTTCGAGGTTCCGGGGTTCTGCGATGTCGGAGTCCCTCAGGTTGGGCAGCCGAAGTGTCCAAACTCCAAGCTTAGGGGGTTTTCTTGGGGCGCTTTGCAAAAAAAACTCCTAGACCTTGGCACGACAGCTTAGGGAGTGCTTGGTGAAGAACGGTGAGCTTTGTGGCCTTGACAGGAGGACGGGGCAACCTCACTGAGTGAGAATGTGTTAATGGCTTGCTGGCAGGCGTTGTTGCAGCTCTGTTCGGAGCTGCGAGGAGTCCTCCGGTCAGGTTTCGCTTTTTGATGGCTTCTGAGACACGCCTTGGGTCCGGGCCCCCCGCCGAAACATCAATCATCATCGGTTGTGCCCGCAGCGCCTCCGACAATTCTCAAGCGACTTCCGTGCCTCCCATCGCCTTGTGCTTCTCGTAGCCATGCGTGAGCTCGTGCACGTCCAGGGTGGCCAGTGCACCTCGGCATTCTCAGCGGTTTTCGAGGCTGCCCTAAAGCCCTAAGCCTTGACTGACCATGAGCCCTGCCTGAGACACCCAACTTCACAGATAGGCGCTTTGCTTTGGGTTCGGTTCAGGGCTTTCAAGGCGTTGTGGCTGTTACAAAACATGTTTGTTCAGGAGCCTAAACGTATCTTGCCAGAGTATGTATGTACAGCACTTATTCCCGCTTCCGTTTTTGTGCCAGCTGCCTTTGAGTTGCCTGTAACAGTACAGTAACCCAGAAAGCATGGTCTAGGTCGTCAGGCCGTTTCCTGTATGGCTGAAAGTCAGGATGTGGGGGTTTAGGGTTGCGGGTGGGTTTTGGGGTATCCTCAAGCCTAAACCCTATGGTTTGTGGTGGGCTGTGGTCAAGGTTGGGGGGCCCCGAAAAGTGCGGTAGCATCAGCACGAGCGCACTTTCGCAGGCGGCAACCAGATCGGTGCCAAGTTCTGGGAGGCCCCGGCGTTTTTTGTGTAGGGTTTAGGGTTTAGGGTTTAGGGTTTAGGGTTTAGGGTTTAGGGTTTAGGGTTTAGGGTTTAGGGTTTAGGGTGTTGGTGTTTGGGGTTTCAGGTCTTTGTCGGGGGATTGGGGTTTTGGGGGATTTGGGGGGTCGGCGTTTGGGGTGTACGAGATGCTGAACCCTTAATAAACCATGAGCCGTCAAACCCAAGACCCTAAACCCTTAGACCCTGCGCCCGACAACCCCAAACCTTGCCCTGAGCCCTAAAAATCTCAAAGCGCTCAATCACCCTAAACCCCTAAACCCCTAAGCCCCTAAGCCCCTAAGCCCCTAAACCCCTGAACCCCCAAACCCCCAAACCCCTAAACCCCTAAACCCCTAAACCCCTCAGCCCCTAAACCCCCAAACCCCCAAACCCCTAAACCCCTAAACCCCTAAACCCCTAAACCCCTAAACCCCTAAACCCCTACACCCCTAAACGCCTGAACCGCTAAACCCCTAAACGCCTGAACCGCTAAACCCCTAAACCCCTATTCCCCCGCACTCGAAACCCTGTACCCTCGAAGTAGGTCATCGCCGACGAGCATGGGATCGACCCTACAGGCGCCCAAGGGCTTCTGGGGCTTGCGGGGCTTATGGGGGCTTTTTTGGGGCTTTTATGGGGTGAGTTTTTGGGGTTTGTGGGGTTTGCAGGGTTTGTAGTGGTTGTAGGGTTAATAGTGTTTGTAGGGTTTATGGGGTTTACGGGGTTTGTAGGGTTAGTTTATAGGTTTGGGTTTATGGGGCTTATAGGGTTTATAGGGTTTATAGGGTTTGTAGGGTTTATAGGGTTTATAGGGTTTATAGGGTTTATAGGGTTTATAGGGTTTATAGGGTTTATAGGGTTTATAGGGTTTATAGGGTTTACAGGGTTTATAGGGTTCATAGGGTTTATAGGGTGTGGTCTACGGTTGGCGTCTGGAAGCGTGCTCGAGCAGAAGGGAGGTGCTTGACAGTTACCTTCTTGCTGAGTTACCTTGGCTAGACTTGTTTTTTCGGGAAGACGGCTCTCTAGGCTTGAGGGTAAACCCTAAACCCTAAACCCTAAACCCTAAACCCTAAACCCTAAACCCTAAACCCTAAACCCTAAACCCTAAACCCTAAACCCTAAACCCTAAACCCCCTTGCATGTGCACAGGCACCTATCATGGCGACTCGGACCTGCAGCTGGAACGCATCAACGCGCCGCGGCCACATGGGGGTTTCCGAAAATAGGGGTACCCCTTTTCGGGTTTAGGGTTTAGGGTTTAGGGTTTAGGGTTTAGGGTTTAGAGTTTAGAGTTTAGGGTTCAGGCTGTTTTATGTGGGGTCGGACAGGGGTACCCTTTTTTAGGGCTCCCTTTTATTCTATTTGGGGTCCAAAGGGGGTATCACTATTTATTCCATAAATTGCACCCCTGCACCCCTGTGACCCGGTATACTGACAGCCCCTCACGCGGACACCTGTGGGCCTAGGAAGTCGAGCCTTTCCGGAGCTAGGTTGTGCGCAGTTCATCCAACAACACAAGGTGTACTTCAACGAGGCGACTGGAGGACGCTACGTTCCCCGCGCGATCCTGATGGATCTTGAGCCAGGCCTCGGGGATTTGTGTGGAAAGGCTCTGTCGAAGTTGAGCGATGGCTGTGCCAACGGCTTTACCGTTTGCAAGCAGTTCTTGCTCTGCGCTACGGACTGGGTTGCCCATGTCAGGAACCATGGACTCCGTGCGCGCCGGGCCTTTTGGCCAGCTCTTCCGTCCGGACAACTTCGTCTTCGGACAGACAGGACAGGGGGGCACACCACAATGCACCGCCTGAAGTTTTCTGAAGCAGCCAAAGCGCTCTGACGACAAGTGCTATGGCAAGCCTGTCATCTGCTCCAGGAGCCGGGAACAACTGGGCTAAGGGTCTGGCCCCCGGTCGTGAGCATTGTCTGGGGTTGGGCACCTCCTTGCTGAGTTTGCGTAGTTCCTCCAGACTTAGGTCACTACACTGAAGCCGCGAGCTTAGCTCACGCCAATGTCTGGATCTGAACCCCAAGCCCTAAACCCTAAACCCTAAATCCCTCTCGTGGGGTTGACACATCCTCAGTCGAGGGCGCGGAACTCATTGACTCCGTGCTCGACGTGGTGCGTAAGGAGGCGGAAGGCCGGAGTTTCGACTCGCACGCTTTACAGAGGAGTGCAAATCCAGCCTCAACATCTGAAGTTCCCCCTTGTACTCACAGCCCGAAATAGGGATTATCATGATTATCATAGCGGGTATTAAAGTCCCGATAAAGGAGTGTTAGCATTAGGGGGGATATCCCAACCTAAGCCCCAAAACCCGAAACCGCATAAATGCCCTTTGTGTTTGCCCCTGCAGGCTGCGACTGCCTCCAGGGCTTCCAGCTGTGCCACTCATTGGGAGGAGGCACCGGCGCCGGCATGGGCACTCTGCTCATCTCCAAGGCAGGATCCTAGAACCCTAAACCCTATATAAGCCCTATGTACACCCAATGAAAACCCAATATAAACCCTATATAAACCCTATAAAAAACTGTAAAGAGACCCTGAACACTACCTCCACCGCAGGGTTTTGGGCTCCTCGACCCGAAGCCTTGAGTTTTAAACATCGAGTCGTCACTTTGCTTTCGACACACACGCACACACACGCGCACACCCAACAATCTTCAGACCCTTAGAGTGGAGCACCGCAAGCCCAATAGGCCCTGAGCCCCCACGCTAAGCCCTCAGGTGCGCGAGGAGCACCCTGGATGCTGAAGTGGCTGAGGGGTGTCGAGTCATTTCTTCAGGACTGAGGGTCCAGAGGCCGATGCCTCACTACTGCCATGTCGGAACAGTCTTGTGGGAATGTTGACAGGATGTGAGGTTTTTTTTTTTCATTTTCGGGAGGCGGCGTCATGTGTGTGTGGTGTGGCATTAATCATTGCAATTCCTACATGTAACACTCCTGAGGTACCCGGATCGCATCATGGAGACTTTCTCGGTGATCCCATCGCCGAAAGTCTCCGACACCGTTGTCGAGCCTTACAATGCTGTGCTGAGCTTCCACCAGCTTGTGGAGAACTCCGATGAGTCCTTCTTGCTTGTTGCATGTCAGCAGTGATAGTTGCTGTGTAAAACAAAGGTTCGCACCTCATTTTGCCGCTAAAAAGCCAGTCCTCGTAACCAACCCAAGTACTAATGAGATTTTGAACATGAGAAAGTTTAGCTGTCACGTCGTCCAAATACTGTGACAACACCCTCATGGAAGCTCTGGTGGCAGTTGTAAGTTCGCAGGTCCAGGCCGGTTTGTCTGATGATTGAATTTCAATCCCCTCCCCTCGCAGACAGAAACCGGTCACACTTGGCCACGACCTGCAGCGAAGCCTTGTAAAACGAGAGTCGGGTCGTACCACGGTACCAGTAGAAGGTTCACAGCTTCAACGGGTTCTTGTTGAACCACGCTTTGTGTATGCATCATGTAGTAGTAATTCGGAGCCGTACCTAAGCTTAGGACAACGAAGCGCTCTACGACATCTGCTTCCGAACGCTGCGCCTCGGTCTGGAGCAGCAAGTTGCACCCGGCAGACTAGTAATGCCCAACGTTTTAAACTTGCCTTCTTGTTTTTTCGAACGTAGTGGGTCATGTGCCCTTGTGGCCCTTGTGGCCCTTATGTGCCGTTATGGCGTGCCTAAAAAGGAAGCTGACGACGCCGACCTACGGCGATCTGAACCACTTGGTCTCCGCTGCCATGAGTGGCGTAACCTGCTGCCTGCGCTTCCCTGGACAGCTTCTAGGCTTCTTTTAGGGTTTAGGCTCCTTTCTCCACCTCCTGCGTGTGTCTTTCATGAAAACCCAAGCTCATGATCACGTAGTGTTCCTTCAGCGGGGGTTGAGGCTGAACTGCGACCTGCGTAAGATCGCTGTGAACCTGGTGCCCTTCCCTCGCGACCTGGAGTGCAAGTAGGCTCGGGTGAGAGTCGACTTTCCTGTCTCGCTCCCAAGCTTGCTCGGTGTTAGGATCTCGGATGTCGGGTTTGGTCAAAATGCTTCTCCCCTGCACACACCCTGAACCCTAAACCTTAAACCCTAACCCTAAACCCCAAACCCTAAACCCTAAACCCCTCACCAAGCCCAGGCTTGCACTTCTTCATGACGGGCTTCGCGCCGTTGACTTCTCGCGGCTCGCAGCAGTACCGGGCCCTGACCGTGCCCCAGTGAACATTCAGATAACTGTTGACTCCCAGATACGGGGGTTTGCGCGTAAGGGCACCCCTAATTGTAACGCTACGCGACCCGCCTCGGCCCGAGCCTGCGTGATGAGCCAACCCGATGAAATGCCTCCTGGTGCTGATGCAATGTCCGCTGCCGGACACCTGTTGTTTAGCGGGGGGGGGGGGGTTACCCAGTGGGTACCCACGTTAGGCAAAAAGCGCAAAATGAAGGGGTTGCAACCTGGCAGCAGCGTGTGAGGAAGGGATTAGAGGTGGGGTGCCCGTTTTGAGGATTCCCCTTTTACAAGGACCCCAAAAGGGTGCCCCTAGTTTCGGAAACCCCCGTATCCCTCAAACCCTCATTAAACCTGCCGTAACCTTAGTTCGCAGTGCATCCAAGGTGCCCGAATTGACCCAACAAATGTTCGATGCGAAGAACATGCATCCCGGCGGGACGGCAAGTTTTCTTCTTTGTGTGGCCTGATGCCTTAGGGTGTCAAGATACTATGGACTTGATCTGAATCTGAGTCCTGGATGCGTTGTGGAGCCCCAAACTACGAGGGTTCCTGTTGAAGGATCCATAATGTATGAGTGCTCTTCGCATCTTCGAAGGCGAGCCTCAGACCCGAAATTATACTCCCTAACACCCTTTCAAGCCTCGAACCCCACATGCTACAAGTCCGCCAGCTCTGCACCCAAGGATGTGTGCTGCGGATCCTCGCCACGGCCGCTACCTCACGGCAGCAGCCCTCTTCCGCGGACGCATGTCCACGAAGGAGGCCTTTCACCGAGTGTGGGTTCGGGGCCGTGGGGGTGAGCTGTTGAGGGTTTTTAAGTTTTCGATGGCCTTTCAGGGCTTAATTGTCGGGTCCAGGAGATTAGGGCCCCTTAGGATGTCGCTGCACGGGTTCAGCGTAAGCATCTGGAATGATGCGGGCGCTTTAATGATTTAATGCCATGCAGGCTTCACGCCCTGGGAAGCTGGCTGCGCAGTTCTTTCGTGATTAGGTCGAGCTTTGTTTTGTTTTTTCATAGTGGTTTTCGCTTTCTCTACCTACATCCTCCACCCGATATAAAGCCCCATAATCCCTATGAACCCTGCACACCCTACAAACCCTATAAAACCTACAAACCCTACAAACCCTACAAGCCGATAAACCCCCGATAACCCCGACAAACCCTACACCTGCCATAAACGCTACAAACGCTACAAACGCTACAAACCCTACAAACCCTGCAAACCCGACTATAAACCCGACTACAAACCCTTTCAATCCTGCACACCTTGAAGCCCTAAAGGGGCCTGCAACCATCGACTTGCGAGCGCGCAGGTGGATGAGCAGATGCTGAACGTTCAAAACAAGAACTCCTCCTACTTTGTGGCTTCGCGGCTGCTTCAGGGTCCGGGGGTTAGGGCTGTCCGTGGGGGAGGGCCTGGGGTCGAAGCAGGGCTAAGCCCGGAAAGCCCGCCCCGTCCCCTATTTTCAGATGGCGGGTTTCCAACCTGAAGGTCCATTCTGCGCGGCGATTCTCAGGCGCAGCCTTATACTTAAGGTACCCGAAAAGGGGTCACACTTGAGAAGAGCCCCCATATGCCTAGAAAAGCCTTGACAAGGAGTGGATCCCCAACAACATCAAGGCATCCGTTTGCGACATCCCGCCCAAAGGCCGCCGAACTGCACAAGTACGTGGTTTAGGGTTTAGGCTTTAGGGCTTTAGGGCTTTAGGGCTTTAGGGCTTTAGGGCTTTAGGGCTTTAGGGCTTTAGGGCTTTAGGGCTTTAGGCTTTAGGGCTTTAGGGTTTAGTCACCAAGTGCCCTGGACGTCACCGAACCCTATACCCTAAACCCCATGCCCTCTAGGCATCGGGATCTGAACCTTCAGCCCAAAACCCTTAGGGTTTAGGGTCACCAACTTCCGCAAGCCCCCCTTCCCCTGTGCACGCCGGCCTGGCAGGCCTGAAGATGGCTGTCGCCTTCGCGGGAAACTCCACCGCCATTCAGGAGATGTTCAAGAGGTGGGAGGGACTTCGGGTTTATGAGGTACTGCAAGGTTTAGGGTGCTATGCTGGACTTTAGCGTTTTGGGGCGCGCCTCTTTTCTGCGTGAATTGTAGGGCGTCTTTTCCTACAAGGAATCCTCCTCAACCCTAAACCCTGCTCAACGAGTTGCCTGACACAGGGGACCAACCTTGGAACCGTTGCATGGGCATAGGCTTCAGAGGGGGCCCGGTGAGCCCTTGAGTCTAAGGGCAGTTCTATGTGGGTTTCCGATAAAACGGGGGTGCTCCCCTGGGCGTGGTCCCTTTAAGGGGATTCTACTCTATTTCAGGGTTCCATCGCAGCAACAGCAGCTGCTACGCAGGCATTCTAGGCCCTGATGCACCAGGGTGGCCGAGTACTTCACCGCCATGTTCCGCCGCAAAGCCTTCTTGCATTGGTACACTGGCGAAGGCCGGCGAGCAAGTTGCGGTCAGTCAAGCTTAGTTAAGTTGAGTTGTGGCCCTTGGGTTCTAAAGGCAAGAGGTCCGAAGAAGGCAAAAAGAAGCAGGCAGTTGGGGCGAATGGTTGTCTTAAAAGCGGATAAAGAAAAGAGGTCTCTGCACCACTTGCCCAAACCTCTGCACACCTGATGACACAAACCTTGAGCCTGAAAAGTCTACAGCCCAAGAGTTCTAAGTCCTTTATCTATGAGATGGTTGACATTCGGCAAGTGGTCCCTGATGCAGGAAGTGATATCTCGAGTATTTCGTAACACACGTGGCGAAACGCAAGTGCAGTACTAAGGGTGAACCATCAGGCAATGCAATCCATCCATGCTAGTATCCAAGATGTAGAGCATTTATCTGAACTTCGAACAAGCTGGCCATGCAATCCATGGTTTGTAGTCCTAGAAGACCCTGGTTGATATCCATCTGGGAAATTCAGATTCAGTGCCTGCCCCAATGTATGCACACGTACATTGGATTCGCTTGGCGGTGTCCTGGATGTGTCCCAAGACTCGGCTGTTACTTTGGGCAGGAATGGATGAGATGGAGTTCACTGAGGCGGAGTCAAACATGAATGACCTGGTGTCGGAGTACCAGCAGTACCAGGCCTTGCACCCGCAAGCAATGTAAGCTGCTCTAGTGGCATGTACTGTACCTGTAGGTTTCAAAATGTAACCACAAGCAGCATGAGTTTAATGATGAACCATCACGTGCCTGTTTATCCTCCTGTACGGAGCGTGAGGCCTGTTTTTGGCTTCAGGGTTTGACTCGTAGTTAAAGCAGCACACTCAGCTCAACGGACTGTTGTACCACTGTCATCTAACGCTTTGCATCGACCTACTGAGAAAAGGTCGTTTTGGAGCCGGGGCGTGAAACGGTAGCCTCGCTTGCTTGTGCAGCTTCGCCGCTTGACGTGCACGTGAGCCCAAGCCCCCCGTTCAGCCGTGTTCAGTTGGCAGGATGCCACTGCTGAGGAGGAAGGTGGGCGAGCGCCAGTGGGGGTGGGGTAGGGATATGATGGGGATATGCAACTTCGGCAAGCTCTGCAAGACTCGCGGGTTGGATAGCCCGAGAGTGGACGATCCTTCTTGAAGTATCGCCCCTGAGCCAGGCAGATGATAAGAAGAAGGGTTGCGTTTTGGACTGTCCTGACTTGGCAGGTGAGTTTGACGAGGAGGAGGGCGAGTATGATGGATAAGCGCGAAGTGTCGCAGACCCATGCTCGTGTCGCCAAACTTTTCGAACCGGTGATGACCTTGACCGCGCCCGCATTCTGCGAGAGGGCACGGCCAGGGGAATTCATTCCAAGCTTTCAAGAAAATCTTGAAGGCAGGGCGAGCATGGAGTGGCAGCAAATCCCGCAGTTTGTGGGATGGGGAAATACAGACGTTGCAACAGACCACACTGGATTGTCACGTCTTGCATGCTTTGGAAGCTGTTGCGACCTCTGCTTGTGTGTTTGATCATGTCTTTAGTGTCTTTCTATCATGTTCATGGGACGTCCTTCTCCGGGGTTCTCTGGGGTGACGTGGCTCTACGGCTATTGATGACGGAATTTGACTGTTCATGCTACCCTTGCTGTGCTTGCCCGCAGCGCCTCCGACAATTGTCAAGCGACCTCCGCACCCTCCCATCGCCTTGTGCTTGTCGCAGCCATGCGTGAGCTCGTGCACGTCCAGGGTGGCCAGTGCAACTCGGCTGACACTGACACCCGAACTGCACTCTACACACCTTGAAGTACTTACATGACACCCTAAAGCTGCAATTAACCCTGTTAACCCACAACCCTAAAGCCGACTCGTGTAACTTTTCTACAGCCTACAGCCTACAGCCAAAGCAGGTTATGAGTCTAGGATGCATGGTCAAGGATTTAGATTCTGAGGATCTTCGGTCTTAATCTTGCCACTGCCGACTCAACTGTCCGTGACTTGCCTCGCCTTCCATAGTCATGATTAAGGGGTGTAGAGCCTGCGAGTATGTAGTTTCTTTGGTCCGTAAACCCTAAACCCCAAACCCCAAACCCTAAACCTCAAACCCTAAACCCTAAACCCATGATTCAAGCCGTCCTTGCCTGAACCCTCTGGCTTCATATGCCTCTCGAATCGCCTTGGCCCAAATGTGAGATGCTGCTAGGACCTGAACCGAAACCCCCTCAAAGTGCCCAGAATTGTTAGATCAACTCCGTTTTGGGCTCCGAGGTGTGGGGTCTATGGTTCTGCGTACCATGGGGTTCGTGTCTTTGGGGGT